TGGAGACCCAAAATCTCTGTAAATGTTTATGAAAATTAATAAAATATAATTATAGAAAAAAAAAAGATCTTCTTGAAAAAACAGGCCAAAGCCAAGGTCTTAAGTAAACCTTTGAAAGTTCTTAAAAAGATTTTATTATGGCCTAGTGGCAAGAAGCTGCACTGCAATCCCAGAGGCGTGCTGTTCAAATGCACCAAGGGCTCTGCTGGAGAAGGAGGGACAATCTCCTCCTGTACCAATCAGATCTGATTTGACGGTACACACACAAATAATAGTAAAAAAAAAAATTTAAAAAAGCAGATTTTATGTTCATAAAACAAAAATAAGAAAATGGTACTTTGCACACTTTAAATTATTTGTTAGCCAAAATTTCTGTAAATGTTCATTAACATTATGAAACTAAAATAAAAAAAAAATCATAAAAAGAGCTACGTGAGCTTTTCCAAATGCAAAAAAAATTTATTTGTTAATAATCTTTTGTGTGCTGCTGATTTACTATGAGCTGATTCCAACTCATGGTGATTCCACAGGACAGATGCCCGTAAGGTCTCCTGGGCTATAATGTTAAAGGGAGCAGAATGCCTGTTTTGTTTTTTTTCTCAGGTGGAGTCACTGGACAGATTCAAACTATTGACCTTTTGGGGAGCAGCCCAGTCTTTAACTATCATGCCAACAGTGCTCCAAGTTAACAGAAATGGGTAGGTTCTATATCAAACTTCATTTATCTTGCTTTGCTACTCTCCATAAAATTAGCAGCTCACTCTCCTGGAATTTTAATAAGCTTCTAAATTTGTCCTTATTTTTATTTTGTGTATAGGTACATGAAGAAAATAATCTGCACTTCCAAGTTCAGTCTTTGACAGAAAAAAAATTTCCTATTTTCTCTGATTTTATGACTTGAAGAAGTTGACTCCTGTTGTGAGTCCCAAAACACAATGTCAGCTCCCTTATTAGTTACTAGAGGTCTCTTTTTCAAGATGGTTGTGTAGAAATTTCTACTCTTGCACATTCAACCCTCTATATTACTTTTCCCTTCCAAAAGCCCAGTTCTTTCTCTTTCTGGTTATTAAAATCCCATTTTCTAAATGTAATTCATAAGAGGTTGATCCAGAACCACCCTTTCCTCTATTCTCTTCATCACTGGCCTGCCATCGACATACTCAAGGCCCCTGGCAATTAAGTACGTGAGGCCTATCACGGTAGCTTCTAAAAATGTAAATGTTAATATTTACTTATATTGAACAGGTATTACCATTTTAGGTTCTGTCTTCTGTGAACCCTTTCCAGGGATGCTTTTGTTGTTCTGTAACCATCTTTCTCTTTCCAGTTTTAGTTCCAACTCAAGCTGGTTTCTGAGTAAAAGCAAGAGAAAAAGTTGAAAATTCAGACTTTTATACTCCTATCTTCTAAGTAATTTCAACTCCTTTTCTTAAAGCTCAGTAAGTAAATATTAACATTTGATTAATAAAAACATTACCAGATGCACCCAAATGAAACCAATAATGTAGCACTAAAAACATCAAACATGCTTAAATGTTCTTGACTGCTTACAGATGGATTTCAGGATCTCCTACTCCCCTAGAGTTCCCACTCTGAATACCAGTATTTTATGTTTTATATGAACTCTTAATAAAGAATGGTAGACAACTTAAAGAAAAAGAATATGATTTACTCTACCTGAAAGGCAGTATTCACAAATTTTTAGCAAGATATATCCAAGTCCTAACATTATGCTCTATTTCATGTAAGACAGCTGGCCTTTCTTTACAGTGATGTATTTAATAATTTCTAGTTGTAACCTAATCAAGTGTCCTTAGGAGATGTGTGCTTTGTATTCAATACAAAGTTCTGTTTGTGTAAAGTTAGCAGCTTCTGCATGGAAGTGAGTCTCATATGACAGATAATACAGAAGAGTTAGAAGGCAGAAAGACCAACTTTCAAATTACAGTATTTCCACTTACTAGTTTAACTGTGTGACTACATAGCAATTGAACGCTGCTAAGCCTTAATTTTGTCTGAAAATGGGAGTATGAGTTGAAGGGAGTGCTATTGGTTGTGTAGTGTTAAGGAGATGCACTGCCACCCAAAAACAAGTTTTTTGAATCCATCAGCTGCTTCATAAGAGGAGGATGGACAATATCCTCTCTCATGATCTACTGCCTCTAAAAATCAGTTGAAGGGTCAACTATGAGTCAATTCCAACCTGATGGCACATAAAACAACAGAGTTGCTGTAAAGATGTTAAGAGAATGTATGTGACTTAGCAAACTATCTGGCAAACAAAAGTGAAACAAAGTTTTAGTGATTGGATTTTAGGGCTACTGCTATTATGTGAAAGCTTTCTGAATTTTCATTTCAGAAAAAGGACACGACAGAGCAGTGAGCTGGCTGGATGCTGTAAGACTCTCCTCTGTCTGGCCTTTAGGAGTAACCATGACCACCACCACCACCCTGTCAGCTCAAGTTGCCCTCTCTTCACCGCTGCCTGGTGAGCTCCTCCACTTCCAGCTGCAGACTGTTGATCTTGTCTCCAAAGTCCTGCTTGAAGAGCCGGTTGTCCAACTCAGCAGACTGGCGGCCTCGCTCAGCCTGGCGCAATCTGGATGTGAGCCACATGAACTTGTGATAAAAAACAAAAGCCATGGTGGGGAGGAAGACTGAGTTTGTAAGATAAAATAAAATAACCCAAGAAAGAAGGAAGGGACAGACAGACAGGACAAAGGAAAGAAATTATAGGGGGAAAAAAACCAGATGATGAGGAAACAAATTCTAAAGAAAAGCAAGATGAAGGTGAACCAGGCAGAAGAAAAGCTGATTTTCCACTTTTTTTTATTATTCTATTACTACAGTTTACAGCCGTTAGATGATAAACAATAAAACATCACATTTTAGAAAATCCATATCCAAAGCCAACCTCAAGTACACAGTAACTTAAATCCACTTCTTTGCTTGCTTTTATTTTCTAGCAGGTTTAACCTTCCATTTTTCTTACACATAAAACTGAACTTGCAAATGGGTAACTACCTTTTTATATGCAGAATTAGAAACACTTCTCTGGTCCTTTGCCAAAACCACATATATTAAATTCCAAGACATTATACATTAACCCTCTACCAAACTCTGGGCTATTAGGTCAGGAAAAGCCTTTTTCAGAGTTTGGCCATATGGTGCATGACTAAGTGGAAATTGTGGCACTAGGCTGGCATAAGGGTCCCAAATCATATTCTCTGGAAGAGTCTGATGCATGCTTTGCTTTGCATATCTTACAACTTTGCACCTATAAAGAAGCATGTTCTAGAAGGTGAAATATCTGAGCTCTCTACAGTAAACTTTGGAGGCATGCTATGTAGTAACCATTAATTTTAAGTTTCGTCTTGGTGTTTGAGCACTCCTTCCAAAATGCTTAGAGAAAGGCAACTCATTAAAAGGTTGCTGAGAGTAGGAATACAGGAAGAGCTATATTTGTACAGGTGCAAAGTTGTAAGAACTGGAATAAATTTAAGAGCACAGGATTGTTCATAAAGTTGGTCTAAGCATTATGTTCTTTGACTTGATTTAGGTTTAAGTCTGTAAGAACCTATGAAAAAACACATAAAAAAATTATCTTATTCTCTTATCCTGGTTTTGTCAAGAAAATGATAAAGCATTTCAAGTGCTAAAGCAAAGGAATTCTCTTTATCCCCACCCAAGCAGCTGAAATGCTCCAATCACACTAAAATAAGGCAGGTAAAAGAAAGTATTTTGTCAAATTCTTTGAAAGAATGAAGGCTTACTGAAAGCCTGTCACCCAAAACAAAGTTATTAAAAATAATCAAAGTGATTATAGGATTATTTATAACCTAAAATCTAAAAAGGGTCAGATCTATATTACTTAGAAAAAGAAGCCCTGCTAATATTATTTGTGGATATCTACTGGCAATCTTTATTTTCAGACTAAATAATAGTAGTAACAACAAATTAATCTATATCCTACTTTGAAATTTTTACAATTAGATTAGCTTCCTAGAAAGTTTAGCAAAATCTTCATCTGAACAAAAAGGAACAGAAACTCTTAAATAAATGTTTCCAGGTAAGGAATATTAAGCAGGAAATCATTACTTAAGTCTCCATCTTGTCCTCTTTAATAGAAGAATAGATTTGAAAACTGGGTAGCCAATTTTTTTAAAAGGAAAGGAGTGTTTTTTAAAAAACTGTTCTGAGTTATATACATATAAGTGGAATTTGAGGGAAATGTCAGAAGTAGAAGATGGAAAATATCAGGAGGGTTTACCAAAGCTTCCACATTATTGTGTTATCATAAATGATACTGAGAAAGAAACTAGTAAAACACTAAGTACTTTTCTTGGCTTGAGAATTAAACTTGTTTAACAAAAATGAGCGGGAAGGAAAAAAAATCATGGTCTAACACAGAGAGAACTCATTTAGAAGGATCCAGGTCCATATGGTATTCACCTCTAGTTCAACTGCAATGGCCAAATAGGTTTATTGATATGAACAATGCACCTAGAATCTGTATTGTCAAGGACTGAGTTGTAAAGGCATCAGTAAATATGCACAGAGCTTCAATTCCCTAGGCTTCTTCTTTCCTTTTTTTTTTTAAAAAAAACACAATGATTTATTTACTGGTCAGCTCATCAGTAATTCCAAAAAATTTATTTGGCATTTAGTCAGAGAACTTATAGCAAATTTTAAGTCCAGGAAATTCCAAGTCAATTTTTGGTGGCATGTTATATAGAACCAGAGTTTAAACCTAGTAACTTTCAGATTCCTTCCTTTAACAATTAAGCTGTGCTAGGAGACTTGCAAGATTACCAACTACAAAATGCTTAATGATGTTTTGGGATCAGTTTATTTGCTGCACTATTTAAGGTTTTTGCCTGTTTCACCAAATCCTTTTCACTAAATTAATAAAATGAAAATGAAAATGGAGTGAAACAGGGATGAGAAAATGGGTAAAAAGGAAAGACAAAAATAGCAAGAGACCAAGTCAGCTATTTGATGCTCAAGATAATAGGATAAATTAACAAGAAAAAAAAAATCTCCACCTCCCAAAAAACTACATTGAAAATGGCTTGATAATAAGGCACAAGTACAATTTATGAACACTAGAACAGACTTTCCTCCAATCATACACATAACTTATGTGCAATTACACATGTGATACCTTTTTATTCATCAGTCAAACCAGAAGCTTTAAGCTCATTTATCAACTTCTGACTAATTTATTTTTTAAGGCAGGTTTATGGGCTTTTAAATAAAATTTTTTAATTGTGATTTTAATGAAAGTTTACAGAAAAGTTGGATTTTCATTCATTCACTCATTCATTGTTGTGCATATTCCTCCCTCCTGCTCTCCCAGCTCACTTTCTCTTTTTTAAAACATTTCTGATTACTTTTTGAAATAACATTAAGAAACAGTGATTTATTTAGAATAATTTGATTAAAAGAAATTATTAATTTATTTTTTTATTCATTCATTGGTTTATCTACTATGTGTATAGCACTGTGATGGACCAAGTGAGGGATCTTAAAAAATTAGCTAACTAATCTGAAGGAACTTACATTCTTACAAGTAATAGGACTTTAAAGTAAGGCAAAAGTTATTAAGTGCTTGGGGGTAGGGAGTGGATAGAGAGAAAAATGCAACAATGAATGACTGGAAACCCTAAGTCTCTGTAAACTTTCATTAAAATTAATTTTAAAAAAGGAATATAAAAAAAGTTATTAAGTGCTATGACTCATATGGATATAAGGTTCTAGGAACTCCAAGGACAGAGTATTTCTAGCTAAGGGAAGAAGTTAATGAAAACTATGAGGAAGTAGAATTTTAATCTTAATGTAACATAAAAAAACAAAATAGAGAAAAGGAAGAGGAGCATTTCTAACTTGCTTCTTCTGGGAAAAGAAAAGGGAGCACTGGTGGCTCAGTGGTAAGACTCACTGCCAACCCTAGGACTGGTTTGAAAACACCAGTTGTTGCTCCATGGGACAAAGATGGACTCTAAAGTAAAGTGATTTACTGCCTCTGAAAACCCCCTGGAGGGTCAGCTGTCAGTTAGTTCTGGACTCACTGGTACACAACAACAACACTGGGAAAGAAAAAAAGTCCAGAGATCAGTAATTAGTTTTTTGGTTCAAAGGGTACAAAAAGGGTGACTGGTGTGAGTGAAAGGTCCAGCCTCAATCATTTCTCTTAGAGGCTGTGTCATCAGGGAGAAAATGGTAGTTCCAGAAAATGGGAGAAGCAAAAATAGCAATAGAGGAACATAATGAGAGGATTTGCTTTGGGCACAATGAATTGCAGAATGGTCTGTGGATGAAGGTCAAAGCAGGAGAAACACTGATCTAAGAGTTATAGGTAGGAGTGATAGTGTAAGGTACAGAATTGTTCAGGAGAAAGTAGATAAAGGATATGAAAGAGGAAAGAAAAGGTTAAAGAATGGAGAAAAAAAGATCTAGGATAAATTCTTTGGAGAACACCTGTATCTTGGTGCCTCTCTATATTCTAGTACCAAAACATTCAAAGGCATTTGTGTGAATTATAAATATAAACTTAAGTGTCTTTTCAAAATGAATTTGCTTTAGGTATTCCTCTATAACACAAGACATAGAAGTAAGACTAAAAATTCTGTTGTATAAAAGTCATTTCTTTCAAAGGGTTTCAGTGACATCTTAGAAAGTGCAAATAAATTGAAATTATTTTCTATCACCATGTCTGACATATAAGAATTTAATATATTTTCTATTCACCAAATGCTTATCACATTCTTTTTACCTTCTAGCCCAAATGATGTTATTAAAGAAGCAGCACTTTTACCTTTGTTCCAGTTGTTTAATTGTAGCAGCCATTTGATTAGTTTTCTCTTCCAAGCGACTGTTTAGTTCACTTTTCTGTTTTGCTCCTAAGTCTGAACTCTGTAGTACAAAAAAATTACGAGTGACTAATAAAACACACAAAAATAAATCGTGTATGCCATTTAAACTTAGTATTAAGGAGGAAATAAAAATGTTCATTATCTGTTAACTCCCAAATTGAGTAGAAAAAAAGTTATTTGTTTAAATTATTTTTAAAATATGCAATCTTATCACAAAAAGTGCCACTGCAAGGCTCCTCAATTGATCATATTCTAGCACAAAAGTTAATGGACTATATGACTCAATTAGCATGTTAGATGGGAGCAGAGATTCTTTAGGATAAAGGACACTATGCCCAGAAAGAAATCTGAAAAGTAATTATAGCTATACAGAATAGTAATAATAATAATAAAAAAGAATAGTAATACAAAATCTTGTAATGACTTGATTTATTAGTACTTAAAGTTATTAGCAGCTAGTCTCAAGGTGGGATGTAACTCATTCTTCTTATATGTAAAGTGTGATTCTTAGGCATAATGGGGAGGGGAGCTTCCCCTGTCCTGGAAATTTAGAGTCAATGAGTCTGCTCCTTTTATTTCTCCTACCTGCAACTTAAAGGCAAGTTCATGCTTGAGAGCCCTGAGATCATCTAGCTGCTGCCGTAGAGACACCAGGGCATCTTGCTTCTCACAGACATCCTTCTCCAGCATCTTCATGGCCAATTCCATCTCCTGTCTCATCCCGATCTGTATCTCCAGCTCTTTTTCAACATCCTGCTCCCAAAGACAAATAAAGCTTACCCACTTGCTTCAACCAAGAAATTTCAACCATGAAATTTCAAAAGAAAAGATATATCAAACTCTTATCTGAATATTCTGGAAAAACAGCCATAGGCTAGCAAGGGTGCTCTGGTGGCCTAGTGGTAAGGAATTACACCAGTAAACCCAAAAGTATGTGGTTCAAATTCACCAGCTGCTCTGTGGGAGAAAGATGAGCAATCTCCTCCTGCAGGAGGAACTGCCTCTGAAAATCTGCTTGAGGGTCAGCTCTAACTTAAAGGTATACAACAACAGGAACAAGTTTTCAGTAACATTAATAACAAGAATTACTATTAAAATAATGACAGCAACATTTGGATACCTGGAAAACAAATATAACAAACCTGTTAGGTCAAAGACAGAGCTACTCAATATACCTAATTATATATATACACACACACACACACATATACATACATTATATATATACACATACATTACACACACACACACACACACACACACACACACGATCAGGGTACCTCATAAGATTTCATTAACACAACTGTTGTCTTGTCCCATTACATAGATATCTACGAAGTGTTACAGTAGACAGCCCAACATGAAGAATCTACAGTTTTCTTAAATTTGGAAGTGTCTTATCACTCAATCAAGATTCCAACAAACTCTGAAGATACTCTGGGTTACCAGGATGAAAGTTCAATTACTAGGAATCATTGTTACGTGCCGTTGAGTCGCCTGCGACTCACAGTGACTCTATGTACAACAGCCATAAACCCTGCTCTATCCTGTGCCAATCTTATACACACACACACCCCATAACCCCAGTCACTGAATCAATCCATTCATCGAGGGTCTTCCTCTCTTGCGCTGTTCCACCCTCCCAACCATGATGGCCCTCTCCAAGGACTGATCCCTCCTTGCAATATTTCCAAGTATGTCAGACAAAGCTTCAGAATCCTTGCCTCCAAGGAGCAGCCTGGCTTCCCCCTCTCCAGGATGAACTTGTTTGTTCTCCTAGCAGTTCATGGTATCTTCAACACTCTTCTCCAGCACCACAGCTCAAAGGCATTGATTCTTCTTCTATCATCCCTAGTCACTGTCCAGCTTTCTGATGCATAGCCAAGGGTGAAGAAACAAAATTTTACATTTCCTTAATATGAAACATTTTCGTTTCAGTCATTAATAAATTTTTCTGAATAAGGAAGTTTTCTTCTCTTTTCCTTTCTGAAAAAGATATCCTTTGTTTATAAGAAATCTGTTGTACAGAGTGAAAAGAAAAACCTACAGACTGGGAGCAAACATTTGGTAATACCATATAAGACAAGTATCTTATAACAAAAGTTTACAGAATACTCCTGGGCTTCCACAAGAAAAAGACTGATAACCCAATTACAAAATCGGCAAAAGACATGGAATTTTCACAGAGGAAGATATTCAAATGGCCAAAGAGACACAGGAAGAAATGCTCTAAATCACTGGCAATAAGAGAAATGAAAATTAAATCCATAATGAGGTACCATTTCACTCCAGTAACAGTGGCAAAGTTTAACAGGGCAGCAAATAATAAATGTTGGAAAGGATCTGGTGAGAAATGAACTCTTATACATTGTTGGTGGGATTGTAAAATGATAACCATTCTGGAAGGTAGTTTGGCGCTTTCTCAAAAAGCTGAACATAAACATCCCATATGACCCAGCTATTCCACTACTTGGAATATACCCTAAAAAAAAGAGAACTGAGGCCAAACTGAGATTCGTACACCAGTGTTCATAGCAGCATTACTCACCATTGCAAGAACATGGAAAAGCCTCAATGTACAACCACACACACACACACAAAAAGGGATTGAGAAATTATGGTACAATCACACAATGGAATACTACACAGCACACAGGAGCAATGATCTTGTAAATTATTACCTAACACGGGAGGGACTGGAAAGCATTATGCTAAGTGAACTAACTTAGTCCCACAAAGATAAATATTGTATAAAACCATTATTGTAGAATGAGTATAAGGATCCAAGAGGGGTGGGAGACGGTGGAAACAGAAGGATGAGGATGTGCAGAGGGAGGGGTTATTAATCATGGGGTTGTACAATTTGATGGGGGCAGGCTGAGAGAAATGGAAAGAATTTGTTCTTAAAAACAATGTATTCAAATTTTGTAAATAAACCAGTAGGGAAAAAAATGTGTTGTGCCCACCAGTATTATTTGGATGAACCAGTGTACATGGACAAAAATACAAAGACCCAAGGTTCTTCTGCACCTATGTACTGGCTGGGGTACATCTACATCTTTACTTACTTGCTTGGCTGCTTTTCTTATTAATAATTATCTTATTTGGATAAACAGATGTAGAATATTTAAGATTTTCATTATATGCTACATGACTGTTAGCTCTTTTCTGTATATGGTGATAATAACTGAAAAGATATTATTTTCTAAAATATTATTTTTATGACTTTCCTTATGGTAAGTATTTGAGAACTGACTGGATTTGCTGGATTTAGCTAACAATGAGCTGAGCTGAAGCCTCTTATTTAGAGTGAACCAGGACCTGGTGTTAATTATGTTTGGGACAAACATTCTTCTAAGTGGTACAGCACTGGTCTGTCAATTTGCTGTACTGAGGTAACCTGGGATTGCTGTAATGCTGAACTTTGTGCCACTAGTGTGTCAAATACTATAAAGGTTACCCATGGTGGGCAGTGTTTGATGGAACTCCAGACTGAGACAGGCTTGGAAGCAGGAGTGGTACCCACTTTCTTAAACGATACGCCTCTGGAATCTCTATGAACATAGAGAAATGATGATAGTTACAGAACAGAGTTCAGGTCTTTTGTTAATAGGGTTGCTAGGAGTTGTGCTCGACTCCATGGCACTTAACAACAACTGAAATTAGGCTATATATTTTCAAGGATGTTAAAATAACGTGTACTTTAGAAGCCTTGAAATTCTTTTCCATAACTTATGAATTTGTGATATATTTTTAGTATAAATTAAATAACTTCTTATCTTCACTTCAGGCTTTTCCCTATTCTATAGTGATAGGGTGTTTTATACTCTTTGAATGGCAAGAAGAGTTAATGTACTATTACTGTGTTCCATGGGATTTTCAATGGCTGTGACCTTTCAGAAAATACTTTTCTTCTGAGGTGCATTGGATAAATTCAAATTATCAAGTTGGTTTTTTTTAAATTATTATTTTTGTGTGAGTGTACCGTCAAATCAGATCTGACTGGTACAGGAGGAGATTGTCCCTCCTTCCCCGGCAGAGCATCT